TGGTCGGTGATCATTTTGCTCAGTCATGCATAGCCGATGGCTAAGCCACTGACCATGGCAGATTGATACGCGTCGTTGACAAAAGTATTTCCATCGGTGGTAGACATGATATATTATAACATTACTTGTGGGTTTAGCTCTAATTGTTTTGTCAATGGTTCGACCACCACCACTGATGGTGTCTTTTGATTTTGCTTTGTTCTTTATAACCATACAGCTTCGGTGATACCCACGAAAGTGGCTGCCATGGCATACAGGATCCATGGTCAGTTAATGATTGGTTTATGATGCCTAGCTAAACCGCCTTTTTTACCAGTGACTACTTTTTAAGTATTTTAAGTTTCTTCGGTACAGTATCGATCACTTTTGGGGTCTCCTCCTCGGCAGGTGTTGGGGTCGAATCCGAGGTTCGCATCCATCATATTGTATATCGTTATAGGAGCCTTAAAATCTGTAGAGCACCAGTGAGTTTCGGCAACCAAAATGGAGACAAACACCAGAAACTAGTTTCTGCCTAGTTTGCACCTAATTTGCCTTGTTTCTGCCTAGTTTTCCACATAGACAATGGTGTGAATGTAGATATATAGAACAAAAATGCCTCCGAAAAGACAACTATTGCAAGACCATGTGGAAGAGATTTGCAAGATACGTGGAAAGATCTCTGCACAAGAAACAAAACAATGATTTGGAATCAGTTCCAATCGACTTCACAAAATATGGAATACAAAAGAAGATATGCAAAGAGCTACAAAGACCATTTCCTCCCCCACTAGGGATATAGCTCCAAATCCGACCTCGTTCTCCAGCACAACCGTATTCCCTGCTGCAGAACCATCGACTCTCTTGCCCACCAGCAAGATAGCTCCAAATCCGATATCGCCAACCATCCAGGACTTCCATGACCACTTAGGGAAGATTGAAGCCTGTGCGGAGCAAACCACAACGATGTTGTTGGCTCATGCGGAGCAAACCACAATTATGTTGGTCGACATCTTGTCTGGGTTGGACAACCACGATGACGACAAACTCTGCGAGGAAATAGAAAGCGTAGAGGAGGAACAAGAAGAGACCCGTCTGGATATTCAGAAGGTGGGGCAGATGCTAGAATCGGCGAAAAAGTGGACCTTCGCTAGCCACAGTGTTTGTCTGGAAGGTCATCCCCACGACCTGGAAGCACTGCACACCAGCCACATTCCACACATTTGTCGTAGTCTTTCTTGTAGTCTTTCGAGATCTTGCACTGCAGGTTCCATAGCAATTGCTCGGCAAACAGATTCTTCCTTAGCATCTGGCAGAGATACAACAGACACTGGATTCCAATATATTAGGACACCATTTTCTTTTTTGAAACTCCTACGAGGCTCTACACAGAAAGAAATTGTTTCATTGGGAGTCCAATATGTAGTACGTCCCCATCGCATTTCTCTTCTGCAAACTCATTGCATGCAGAGAGAATTCGTACAAGACCTTTGTTTGCCCAAATTGCTATTGGTTTGTAGGTATTTCTTTTTGTCTTTGCTTATTATCTCGTATTCCAGTTCTATCTCGCATTCGTTGGTCTCAGAGTTTCTTTTGTTTTCTTCATCGTTTTCCTCTCTCCCTCTTTGCACAGCTCTATAGGAAGTCTTGCTCGAGTCCAATTTGGATTCCTGTATACACCATCTGAGAACGGATAGGTTTTCTTTTCCGAAAGGCAAGACAGGCGGATTGTTCCAGGAAGGGAGAGACAGTTTTTGGCCACATCTCTACGCCCTTCTTATGCATTAGCAGCATGCAAAATCTCTTGAATCATCTTTCGTGATCTCTGGTCGACCTGCATAGTATAGTACAACCTACTACGCTTTCCGGTACATCCTCTATCTTGTATTATGATATTTCAATGCCGATGACGTTTTTGGTCTTTGTTTTTGCGCCATTCGAAAGCGACTAGGTTGTTTGGGGGTAGCAATATATCTGGATTTGGACCTTGGGGATGTGGCTACGTTATCTTCGAGATGGCATAGTTGTCGTATGGGGAGCTTTTGTATAGCATCGTAGTTGCTCTATTTCTATTCCTGTAGGTGTAGCAGCCAAAATGTCTACTCGGAATAGAGGGCATGCCTGGAATCCGAAATCAGCTGTAGCCCATTCATCAGCATGGTCCCATGAAGTATCGTCTTCTACATTGGCTTTGGTGAGTTTTACTTGGATTCTGGACACTCTTCCAGTGCCTGTGTGCGCATACCAACCCACGAAGATAGTCCCCTTGGGTCCGTCCACAAGCACCATGCAACGGTCAAGACATTTCGATGGATTCTCCCCCTGATTTGCCGGTGGTTGTACGACAAATAGGTTTTCTCTTGAGAATAACTCTAGTGCTTTGTCTACCAAATTGTTGGCCATTGTGGCATTGGCCCTTTCCATGTAGAGATTCCCATTGTGTCTTTCCTGTAGAATTGGTTTCTTTCTCGATTCTTTGTACAGTGCTCCGTATTGCAGAGGGGCCATCTATGGCATATTGTAGTGTATGTAGGATTTTGGATTGCATATAGCCCTCTTCTTGCTCAAAACCCACATGGGCACAATGTGTTAAGCCCATTTCTGGTGTCCCCCGCCGTGATGTTGCTGGAATATTGCTAAAAGCGGCGTTAAACTAAACTCAGTCAGTCAGTCTTGCTCAAAAGATTTCGTGGAAACTACAACAGACGCTGTTCCTTTTTCTCCAATGGTACAATACACGGCTCCTTTTCTACAGACACAGTCTTTTCGTTGAAGATAGGACCACCTCCGTGGTGCAGTGGTAAGAGCGTCCGCATGGAGAGTGGAAGCTCGCGGGTTTCGATCCCGACCACGTCATACCAAAAAGATGTTAAAATGTGGTACTTGTTGGTCCCTGCCTGGCGCTCGGCATTAATGGGTACAACAAGGGCTGGTCGGCCCCGAGTCAGTATGTGTCTGGGTGGGGTATTCATGCTTCACTGCGGCATGGTATCTCAGTGAGCTAGCACTATAAAACCAGCTTAAGCCTGGGCTAGTACAAGCAAGCACGACGTTAAACCAAATTGCACCTCGTTGAAGATAGACAAAGACATATCTATTGTCCACAAATGTACGTAGACCTTCCAGTGGTTAGAGATTAGTTTTGCCGAGATTGCCATCGAGATAGTCTACACGAGCATTGTCTGGTAGAAGATTGCTTCCCACAGTATTTTCCAGTAGGAGGTGGTATGCCACTGCTTTATCTGCTTGCAAGCCCATATTTACGTATGTTGCTTCTACTGCCATTCTAGGTTGCTATTTTTCTGGAAATACAGATAGGTTGGGTACCAAATGTCTAAATGGACAGTCTCAAAACATTGGGACACCCCTATATGTTGCTGTACCCCTATTGGGCTTTTGGTTGCATTGCATTTGTTTTTGTATGTTTTTTGTATTTGTTTGGTATTTGTCTCTATTTTGGTTGCCGAAACTCACTGGTGCCCTACAGATTTTAAGGCTCCTATAAAGGACGGACCTGGCTTGGGATTCGTGTGAGAGGAATTACTCATCGTACCCCACGACACAGTATTACCTCCTTGACTATTAGATATAAAATAGTTAATAAAAAAATAGGTATATCATGTGGAGATTGATCGAGAGACGTGTCGTGTCGGGGTGGACGTCAAAGGGCTCGATATTTATTCAGTGCTACGCCTAGTGATAAGTCAATGTCAATTCGAGACTCTGTACGATAGTTAAGGCTTAGTGGGAACCAAACGATTAATACTTCTCATGGATGCTTTAGTGAACTATAGCCTGGAGATAAACAAATGCCCTGCCCCATACTCAACCTACTGCTTAACTGACTTTGATCAGTTTATGTCAGACCCCATCCATAACATAACCGCTAGCTATTATGATTTTTTTTTAAATTATCTTTCATACAGGGACATCATTGGATGTCCCCCGCTCAACCCCCGTCATTTGTAAAGGGCCGCTGGGAGCTTAATTAGCCATAAATAAGACCATAAGCGGAAGTGATCTCGTACTCCCATTACTAATACTACTCCACAACATCAAAGTACTGCTATGGCCCACAATGTCTTTAGATCTAAAGTCCATCAAACATCTATGAGATACTCTTTATCCATGTATCAGATCACAGCAACAGCCAAAGAACCTCCAACAGTTGGCACAGGAACTGCAGGAAGACTTTGTGAATGTTCCTGATCATAATATGACTGGTTCCATGGGGTGGCGATGCCAGTCATTTGTGGTTTGGTTTGGTTGTTGTTTAACACCGCACTCAGCACTATTCCAGCTAGTTGCTGAAGACCAATTGTAACCCGGATCTTCACAGGTCCAGGTAGTTTTGGACTCACATGAGAGAGAACAGATGACAATTTTGCCATTCGATTGCTTCAGGTGTGACATGATGAACCTGGGTCAGTGACTATGCCTTGTGCCAAATTTGAACAAATTATTATGATCTGATGTATCCTGTTCAGCCTATGACATGGGACATCACCGCAGGTAACTTCCCTTCACTTCTTGTTCACTGATAGCTGTACGCTTTCAATGCAATACTCAGCACAATCCCTCATTCTCGACTAAATGTTTTATTGCATAAGAACAACAGACCCTTCCTTCAAACGACTGGGATATCTCCTGCAAGACAATTCGCAAACTGTGAGAATCACACTTAACCAGTGGCTCCATAACTTTTGAAGTTAAGCATGTATAGAAGACCATGATCATGAATATCCGTCGCGACAGTCTGTGCAGGGAGCAGAAGCCGACCTTTTTATTTCTATTTTTGTACCATGTGGTCCCATGTTTTTATTGTATTTTCTTCTCAGAGGAACTGACTTTTATTTATATGTTGGGACAGGATAAGCTCAATTTCTTCTGCACACCGGATATTATCACCATTTGGTGTTAATTGATATGGCATATTCGGAATCCTACAATAGACAATGGAGATTCCATATAATTTTTAAAAACGTTTCTGTTTAACTCACTCACTACAGAGCGTGACCTACCCTGCTTGCTTAGTAGCGATGAGTACATATCATCCAAATCAGAGAGATCTTCTTGTGAAGCCTCAATCTCCTGTTCCAAACCTTCAATTGCTGCCCCCATGCTGTCCAGTGCTTTATCAGAACTGTGTACTGTCCTTTCGAGACTGTGAAGACGGACACCACGACTTCCAGTCAGCTCCCCAACTTTCCGCAAGTCAGAGAGCAACAGCTGCAATTGGGTCCTCAGGTGTTCCATGCCAGATGCTGCACACCCTGAGTCTGGTGTCTGGGTGGACACACTCTTCATACTGGCCCAGACTCAATGATTCAATGTACGACTGGCATTCATTTGTATCCTAAAAGGAACACATAACTACAGTTAGTTTAAACTCAAAACCTGCAGATATGTGAGTGGAAAATATTAATTTAACAAGGAACTTAAAGGTCACATGCAACCAAAAAATCAAACATAATTAAAACACAATTATCACTTCTTCATGACATATAATATGCATTGCTGATTATGAAAAAACAAATAAACAAAATTATAAGCGTATAATCGCAAATCAAAAGTGCAATATTTTGTACTTGGGTTTACCTCCCTCGAAACGAAGCAGCCGGGATACCGAACCCAGTCAGAGCGGATGGGTGTGCACTCAAGTGTAACGGCTGGTTCATTAGCAGATGCCGCCTTCACGGCTCATTGTGTGTGTATATATAGAGATGTTGGGTTTTGTAAATACATGCTCATTTTTTGTGTATAACATTTTGCAATCAACAGACATCATAACATGTCATGTGTTCAAGTCTCACACCTGCCTGTCTGTGTAATTACATAATGTGACAGAGACCGAACTCGGGCCATAAATCAATTCGTTTTGTTTCTGGTGTATAGCCTGATTGGTGTTAAGTTCAAATTGCATGTGGTCAGTGATCGCAGTTGTGTATTGAATATTGTCATTAACAGACAGGCAGGCAGACACACAGCTGTCAATAAAACAAGACATCGAGTTTTGTCTGTGACAGCGACATATCTATATCACAGTTAGAAATTCTGTCAACGCTAAATAATGACATTGCTTTTAAGTATCGAACTGAGAGAGTGACTCGGTAAGAAGAATGTGTGGTGAAATAGACAAATGAAATTATATAAACAGTTTATTTACTGTCATAACATATAAAAAAGCTCGCGCCTGTGAGATATCAACAAAACATTATGAAAATAGCTCACACCAAAGCCTTCACCAAGTATTCACCAGACAGCCCGCTTCCAAGTTGCGCGAACCTATTTCACTGCGCACGTGCTATGAGCGCAGCCCAGCTGTTGAAACCCGTATTCCCCAGAAAAGTCTGGGGAAAATTAGTGAAACGTTTGAACTCCAATTTCGCGCGGTTTTTTTCATCGCGTTATTTTTCAACTTTATAAGTTGAATTTGCATTTTTGACGATTTGTTTCGGTAAGTCCATACCGAAAGGTATCAGAATCTGCAAAGTTGTGTTTTACGTTGCATGTGACCTTTAACTATGGAAAATGTTATATATGCTCTATATGTATACCTGAATGAAGCCAACAGCAACATGATCTGTCTGTTTTATGTGTGTTACCTTCTTCATATTTCCCAGACATTTAAGTGAATGAGTTGTAAGTGAGTTGGGTTTTATGCCGCTTTTAGCAATATTCCAGCAATATCACGGTTGGGGACACCAGCTGATATTTAAGAATCGCAATGATATTGTTTTGCTTGAATACACAAATAAGTGTGAGGGGAAAATTTATTATCATATAATGGAGGGTGTTATCAGTGCAGTAAAGCAATCTGATAAACTTGGTGTCCAAATCTGATAAATCTGCAAATTATGTCAATACACAAACTATTTTCACATACACGCCATACAACTCCATACACGCTATGTGAATCCTAAAACATTAACATTTCATTGATGACGTCATCATCGTGAGTTTACAGGGGGTTTTCCATTGTGTCACCTTGGTGTACCGCTAAGTATTCTTATGCAAATGCTTGATTCTCTTCATGTAAATTCACATACGATTTGCTTCTTTTTTTTATAGTAATTTTGAGAATAACATTATATGATAAAGAGATTATTCACCTCGTGTGTTTCTGTATCGTTAATATCATATATTAGGAACATAAAATATATATCATAACTTAAAATTGTAAGTTTACTTCAAACAACTCACAACAGGCAGTTGACCCCACACTGTTAGGTCATGGAACAAGATTTATGATGTCATTATGGAGCATGATGTCATTTCATAACAGAACTGATAATGGACCATCGTTTACCCTCTAGATGCCGAGTTTTTTTTCAGGTGCACATTTTCATAAGGTTTGAAAAGTGAACGTTGTCCGATAATTGCGCTCGCATGGTCCATGATCCGCATACGGCTATAAAATTACACAGAAATGTAGAATATTAAATTTCCGATCCGTTGGTATAAATATAAGTGCAAATACCTTAGTCACTGCTAAATGTTGTCCAAAATGTTGTTATGCTTTAAAAAACAGTAAATGTCTCCGCTTTTTATTGTGCACCGATAAAAGCACTGTGCTACATTTCTTTTTAATTTGGCATCTCTACAGAAAGTGTGAGCGAGGAAATACAGCCTGATATCTAAACGACATAAGTATATATGAAATGGGTTTGTGTGCTTATGCATAAAGTTATACGCTCAATCTTAAAAATGACTCAATAAATGTTGACAAAGGATTTTCTTCTATGACGTCAAACGACGACAGAGAGGTCATAAACGTATAAAGATAAGGGGGCATAACTCCGCTATGCTTAACACTAGGTCAATGTAACTCAGATCACTTGAAGAGAATTTGTTGTGGATACGGACACTATAATTTCGTTATGTTTTGTTCACCGTGAACAAGACACTCTGCCAATACAAACTTCCCTGGACGTGAGTGGATACGTTTTGGTAGTTTCACAATTTATAAGAAAAGATGACAACATACTACATGAGAAAACACGTAATAGCGATATGGAAACTAGTTCTTAGATTCCCATATTCTCCTGTTTGTATAGATGTATTTTGACTAATTTTGCATAATTATTAACCGATTACTAGCCATATCTTCAAATGCAATGAAATTACTGAAAATAATACAACATTTTAGTTGACGTCATTGCTTCTTTTATGCATTTTGCGACGTCGGAAAAAGACGACATTGGTATGCTGATTAGTATATATATCACCTAATTTCAATTAATTGTATAAAATGTCTCGGCTTCTATGTCAGAAAGTAACACTCTTTAGACAAAACATAAAATGACTGATTTACCATTTAAATAGTGTCCTGAATATATCAACAATTAGATGGTTTGACTGCGTATCTTATTGTGAGCAACACACGCACCTGTTTGGAATGAATTTAACGTAACTGAAAATTAATATTTCACAACACCCAAATATTTTGTTAGGATAAGAATTGTCTTTGTTTATGATTATGTAGCTATTTCTCTTCATAAGTATGCAATGAAAGATGCTAAAAGAGAGTTATTTTGTATGGAACTATTAGAATATGGATGTAAGGTTTGTCCAAATTAAGACATGACATTTTTTATATATTTTAAAACAATTTCGTATAAATATTGTTAGAGTTTGATATCCTGTCATCACAATATTTTTTAATCAAATATGAATTGATCATATTATTGAAAACAATGATAGTGAATCATAAAACGTTTCTGACAAACACGCACCTTGCCAATCAATATACATCATTGTTTTATCTATAAAACCACACAAACAAATTCCATGATGAAGGCAATTCCTTTAAATACATGTGCATATACGTTACATAAAATGTATAATCATTTCCATTAAAACTAAGTTATGTGGATTTTAGTTGCAAAAGGGTAAATTTTCATGTTAACTGCAAAAGCTATTAGTTGAACAAACTAAGGGAAAGGTTCCCATAGTTTGTAACTAAAGTCTACTCTCCCATAGTCATGTGTACGCTCTCATAGTAAGCCGAGCTGTCTCTGTTCCATAGTATGCAACGTTCTCATGTTACCAAAACTGATCGCAGAAATACAGCAGACAGAGACAGCATGACGTCACTAAGTAACCAGCTTTTAGTTGGTTGAAAAAGGGATCTAACCGTTTTCAACAATTCCTCATTCAGTTGGTTGTTAACGCAAACATTATGACAGTGGTTTGGAAAAATAACACATATCAATAAGAACACAAATAACATTATATTTTAATTCAAAATTTAAGAGACAGAGTCACACCATCTTTCAAAACTAGTTGAAGATCTCGCGGGGAAGAAGTTCCATCTTGTACTACAGTGGCATGTTCAGTGGCGGGTTCAGTGGCGGATGGAGGGTCGGAGACCAAAAACGTGGGCGACGATGTCGTGCATGTGGCTGTATCATACAGAAGCATACAGAAGCATATCATGATCTTATATTAAGGACCTTCTGGTAAATATAATGTAGGCAAAGCCTACTATCTGAAATGTAGGCGACAGTTTGAATAAAATAATCTTAGGCAGACGAATTGCTGTTTACAAATCGATATGCACAAGGACGTGGCCCAAAAAGTTGAAATGTGGAACATTTGTGCCGACAAATTATATTTAAAGTAGTTACATTATATTTCGCCCAAAAAACTATTGATGTAAAACGTCTTTTGGGGGCGAGTTTAAGATAAAGGATAACTGTATACACACCTTGTAACTCCTAATAGCTACAGATTTATGCCCCGTCGTCTCTGCAATAAGCTGTTCGTCTACACTGGCGTCGTAGAGACGTGTAGCTGCTCAGAGAGTGGTTGGAGTAGAATCCTGCAAACCCAGCAAGTTTGCATATTCGCCCGACTGTTCCTCTCAAAGGATGTTTACCAATAGGACAGTCAGCAAACCACGTGTTATCTTTCATAAACCTGAGTGGTTGGAGATAGAAAGCCAGAACACTTGCCATCTCTAGGCCTAAAAGGGAAATAAGAATTTGTAATATAGATATCATCTTGCCCATTCAATGACAATTTACAATAATGCCACTACATTGTAACAGTAATTCCAATATTATAAACAAAGACAAAAATAGAATTAATAATTTCTGACAGTCGCACATGTCATGCCTTCTTGTGTATACCAAAAATCAGTGAGAGTGAGATTGGGTTTAACGTACGTTGATAACCAGTCAGGTGTAAGCAGCGAGCGAGACCAAAATCAAGTATTTTTAAACAACATTATCAAATCAAACTAAAATATTCACATGTAATATTATGATAGTAATACTATTTATTACTCACCGAAGTGACATGTACTTTTGGTAGAGACAAATTAGGCATCTCTCAGGTCGCTCTCTGTTGACG